TAATGTCATTGAAAAGTTTTTAAAATTATTATTTATTTTAATAGTGAGTAACCTTAAGAGGAGGTTTCTTTTATTTTTTATTTTGATACGCTCTACTGGAATAGTCTACGTTGCATACCGTTAAATTTTGGGATTGCTGCATAAAGGAAAAAAAATTAAATCATAAAATTGTCATTAATAAATACGCATAACATATTATTCGTATTACATATTACTTAACATATTATCATATTACTTTCACTTACGTTTATATCTAATATATAGTAAGGGTAAGTATTGCGATCGTGAAAATATTTGAATCTGAGTTTTTAACGGAAATACACGTTTTGAGGTACCCTGAGTCGAAAGGACCAAGTCCCGAAAAATGGTCTGTGTGTCTGTGTATTTGTATGTTAGCAGTGTAGCTCAAAAACGAAAAGTCATACGAAACTGATATTGCGTATTTAAGATAGTTATATGCCTTAGATGTGACAGCAACTTTTTCAAAATCGGCTAACCGGAAGTGCCACTTATGTCAACGCTGAAACCCATATATCAAATTTAAAGATGTAATAAAAGTAATTGAAAAATACTGGGATACAATAGAATCTAAAGTAACTAAAAACTAAAAATCGGACCTGCATGTTATTAGCTATGGAAATGTTCATCATTTATTCCTTTTTCTAATGAGCTATTATTCAAAATATTCAAAATTGCATCTTAACGCGACGCCGTGTTAGAGAGGCAAAAAATAGTGTCAAGAACCAAATGAGAACGAGTTTTGTTGATGATATGGATTAAAATATCTCAGAAAATATAAATCGAACTTGCATACTGTAAGCAAGGAAATTGTTCAGCATTCTATCCTCTCTGTAATGGAGTATTATTTATAATTTATATGCCATATTATTAATCTCGCAATGTTGATGATTTGACTTGTGGTCTAAAGCACGCACCCTATTTAAAAAAAAAATATTTTTAAACCATAATCAGCTTTGTTTTGCCCTTTTGAGATACTTATTGTGAATTTAGTTTTACAGGATAATTTAACATTTTTTTTTTTCTATAAAATATATGTATTCATCTCTCTGTTCAATATTTTACCTTAAAATTATTTCCCTTATTGTTTTATTTGTTTATATTTTTTCACACATTCTTTATTAAATACCTGCTATTAGGAATTCAAATATTTCAATCATTTTAGTTTTACCATAAAAAATCTACAAATTTTTTAATTTTTCCTGCTAATACTTCATATTTAGTTTTTCCGACATGATTATGAATGTTTCATTTTAAATGAGTATACAGCTTCACATGACGCCATGTTATTCTCGCTAGTTTCAGTTTCAAAATGTTCAACGGATATTGTTCCAAGGACAAAAGAATCTTTAATGAGGCTGTCTATTTTTAAACTGAACTCTGTTTAAAACTCGTGGTCTGTCGATAACATATCAGAACTTAGTGGAGTTTTCTTCATTACTTCGCCATTTTTTTTTTAAAATAAACTTTACATAGGAATGTATGAGCTTGTCAGTTGATAGATCGACTCGAATTTCAAAATTATTGAGTAAAGTAATTTTAGAGATATTTCTAGTAGGAAAATTTATAATATCTGTACAGACAGTAAGTTGATTCCATAATAGGTGATTGCAGCCTTGAAATATCGAACTGTGAATTGAAGTATAAGTTTTCTAACTATAAATATCACTAAAATTAATAGTATAACATTTTTACATTGGAATTAATTATTCTGTCTACTGAAAGGCTCATATATGAGTTAGCCTACTATAGAACGTGGATTGGGGGCTTTTTCTAGTGATATTATGAAAAATGATTCACCTCTTATTCATAATTTTACCTTATTCCATCAGAGTAAATTAAATGGAATTTTAAAATTTTTATGAACACAGTTTCTAAGCATAAGAATACATAAATTTACTCAAAATCTTATAACTGAACGGGTGAATATTCGCGGGGAAATCCTAACCGTAGGTTGTAAATTGGTTTAGGTCTGATCTTGTGTAAGTAAACAACTTTAGGAAGAACCTTTTAGTATAAATAAACTAGTTTGAGGGAAAGAGGCAATACCCCGTTCTGTAGGTTCCAACTTATATGCAAGCTTGTTGAGAGAAAGATTTTGAACTTAATAATAAAAATTTATTTATTTCATCTTATTTACTGTAATTAAGTCCGAAAATAATCTCATACGAAAGTCTTATCAACTTACCGATTATTTCCACCATCTTAGCGAGTTTAAAACAAATTAAGTGTAGAATAGAACATAAATATAACATAGAACAAAGAATATACATCATTTAAGGACAATATATTCCATAAATTTCTAAAACTTGGACCGGTACTTTGCAATCTATACGACGATATTAACAAAGATTTGAAAATCCACAGAGACCTCACAGACTCTTCATTACATAACATTAATTATATGACTGGAGCGAACTCCGGAAAATTCGACTACACCAAGACCTCTCTTAGACGAGAAACCTTCATATTTACCCTGCTAATGTCCAAATTCCTCAAACAGATAAAATTGGTCTGATATTTGAGTGAAGAACTAGATGATGTCCACGTTTGAAGAACAAAAGAGAAACTGTAAACTTCAGATTACGAATATACATTCAACTCCTTTCGAAACGTTATAAACTTAGACCGAAATTGGACACTTACAACACTGTTAAAAATGAAGGGTGTAATAACTGAAAAATTTATCGCCCTAAGACCTCTACCCTATTAAAAATACATCAAATTCCAAAATAGGCATCACAAACTCCACATCAACTAATAAAACTTTATCTCTGGAACGAAATCTTTGGAAAATTCGACTCAACCAAGACAAATCACTATACTTACTCTACTTTTAGACTTGAAACGCTCTCTATTTATTCCAGTAATGTTCTCAATTAAATAAAATTAGACTGATATATGACTTTAAAATGAGTTGGGAGTCAACATATCAAGAACAAAAGAAAAACGCAAAACTTAATGGTACGGATATTATATTCACTCCTTCCAAAGGGTTAGAAATTAAAACAGACAAAGAAACTTATACCAACTACACATACGTTTCACTGATATACGGAACAGAAAAACAAACCTCATACGGTAACTATTAATTTTTCGGTAGAAACTTTTAAGGCTATTATAAAAGCTCTCTGGCACGCCAGCAACATTACTTTACGTGCTAACTCACTATAAAAAGATTCACAATAACTTACATCCATAAAACTTGGAACTGTCACAACGACTTGCCCGTTAATACCAGTTAGGAGATCAAAAGAAGTTGGATGAGCGGTCTCCAAATAATAAACTGAAAATATGAAGAGATGCCTAAATGCATGAGTATTTCTGACCAAAGGGTGGTGTGGCCGTGAGAGCTAATGCCGCTAAGGTTATACGCTAATGTCGAACGGATATTGCTAGTGCACTGCACAGCGCGTGGCCCGTCAACCTGATAACCGCTTATGCGTTCGCGTCCCGTTGCCGGAGGGATTCGAATTCTTGCATTAATCCTCCGCCTTCACCCTTGATTCAGGAAAACCCCGTATGGCCTATAAAGGTGAGGAAGAGGAGAACAAAAAACAAAATATTTCTGAAAAATAAATCTAAATCTAATGATGTTGGCTATACAGAAGGAAAGTGTCTGAGGTTATATAGAGAAGAATCGATTTCCCTTCCTTTGCCGTAAGATTACGACTCAAGTTTCACCCAATACGGTATTATTTAAGTTGTTTGCCTATATAATTGATTCTGGTGGGTTTAAGTAGAATGGAGTAAAAAGGCAAAGATGGTCAGTGTTTTCGCCATAAAGCTTGTTCTTATTACCATGCTTTATCATTTATATTCTTAAAATATGTTTTTGTACGTATAAGGATTCTAGTATCGGCACCTCTGTCTTGTTTGTTTGTACGTTGGACGTAACCATTCTATGAGAACGCACACTTCAACTGGCTACAAGGAAGCCGTCAATTGGTCGTGCCTTCCGCCTCTTATTCGTCCCCTCTACTAACTACACCATTCAGTCCTCGTGCTCTTTTCAGTTCGCTACTGGATAAAGCCGATATACATTGCTGACCACAGAATTAGTGGAAAATATGGTCTTTATTACTCGAGGGAATTTTAGGAATTTTCTTGATTCCGCCTACCTTAAAATTTTATCTAGCATGAAGGAATGTGGCTATTCCAGAGATTCGGGGTCTGTGAAGAACTCCAACATCTCTTCTAATGTTGATCCCTAAAAATTCCTTCACATAATGAAAAATTCCGTTTACTATGTCACTTTAATTAACCCAAACTTTAAAGTTTCATTTTATAATTGTATTTTGTAAAAAAAAAATTTTTATATATATATATATATATATATATATTTATATATATATATATATATATATATATTTATTTATATATTTAAAAAGTTGATCATTTCACATTATTCAGAGCTAAGTTAATAAAGGAGAAAAAAATAAAATTAAAAAAAAAAACCTGCGTTGCTATAGACTGTAACGCCTAAACGAATGTACAGATTTTATGGAACTTTTGCTAAAGTCATTTTCTAGACACCCTTTAAATTTATCTATATAACATACTTCAACGAAAAAAAGCTGAAAAAAAAGTTACGAGGGATTGTAAAATTAAATTCCGAACTTAAAATTTAAAATATTTTTGGTTTGTTATTACTTTCACTTACGTATATATGTAATATATAGTAAGGGTAAGTATTTCAATCGAGAAAATTTGTATTCAAAAGTTTGATATTATCTATGTTTAATATATATATATTCAAACCATATTTATTTATTTTAATGTCACTGCCATGTATATTCTACAAAATATGAATAGAACTTCTATTTCTTGGGATAAGGTTGAGTTTTTAACCCTAATTCAGTGATAATCCCCCCCCCCTCTGGAGCAGTCAGTTCTCCGAATACCTTTGAATATTAAAGGTAGAGATGAGAAATATAAGAGGGGGGGGCTGCTCCTTCAAAAGTTTTGTAATTGGTTTTCTATTAGGCCTTGGTCAGCGAGGCGGGGAGTTTGACGCCGAAGGGAAATGAACAGCACAAATGAACTTGCTTAAACAGCTCCCAAAACTTCTCTGATTGGGGCCGACTCCTTATTCTCCAGGGGTCTCTCGAATCTGTGACCTGTTTCCAAGCAGGAACCATTTCCTGGTGACTTTTCAAGATTTGGAAGTCATTGTTTTGCGAATCAGCTTAAATAAGTGAAATTTAATAGGCCAGCTAGATGTTTTGTTTTTGGCGTATGTTTGTAAAATGGCGTATATTTCAAAACTAAAGTAAATGTTCTAGTAATAGACATTGTTCAACTCAAACAAATAATAAGCTTATGCATCTTATAAAGAGTGCATATATGAGTAGATGAGCAGCTAAAACACTTAAGTGATGCCTGAACCTCAAGTGATAAACCATAATAGCCTGTCGGCAATGAATTTTTTATTGGAGCAAGTTTGAGGGTCTGTTTCATGGAGGGTTTCCTTTATGAGATGTATTAGACATTTCGAAGTAATTTTGATTTATTCATTTGAAATTTCACATTTTTAGTATAAAACTCCCAAATTTAAATTTTTGTTTTAATTTAGTAAAAACTTTAGTTAAAACTGTTGTCCCCAAAACCTGGTGCAATATACGCTGTCTGGATTTCTTAAGTTTTTCACGAATAATAAACTATTTGATTATATAGAAACAACAAATTAGATAAAAGAAAAATATGCTGTCAATTAAATTCATTTGCCTAGATCCACCATCGGAACCAAACCTGTGGTTCACATTTATTTTAAAACATTTTCTTAAGGTGTCTGATTCCGGTACATTTATCTGAAATGTGCATTACAAAGAAAAAAAAATACATGACAAGTAAGGAAGTATGGAAGTACTGTTTCTCGATTAACGGTTGTGCAGGGAGGTGATTAGGCTGAGATTACGCTCAACCGCCGTGTTTTCTCCGAAGATGTGTGGTACCATCTATAGATTGAATCGGCTATAGATTAAATAGTTTTTGAGTGCGATAGCAACTGGATTGGTAAAAATTTCCACGGATCATCAATCGCTTTATCTGTAAAAAAAAGAGTAATTTGGATCTGTTCATTATCAGATCGCCGATGATTTGTAACGTGTTAAATAAAAAACTCTTCAGTACAAAATTGTTTTACCTTAATATCAGAAATCAAAATATTTTTTCAGTCCAGGAAGATTTTTATGTTTCATGGTACACTTAGTAATACTTATAGCGTATCCAAGAAAAGTAGGCAACGAAATAAAATATAAAAAAAAAAAAACAATATGTATGTTAAAATTTAATTAAGTGTAATAATTTTTATAATAAAAAATATGATGTATCCTTTTTTTATTGTCATTTATTTATTTTTATTTGATTACAGTTTGATTTTTTTACAGGTAAATGCACTAATACTTGTCCCTGACATAAGTTGTGAAAACAGCTTGACTTGAGGATTAAAATGAATTGTTGATGTAAGTTTAACTATAGTCATATTATATATTATATTATACTATTACTATGGATTCCTAAAAAAAATATTTATACATTAATCTAAATTTACATTTATAAATCTTGATGGATACCTAATATTTTGATTTTCGCCATTATGGTCGCTTTGTTGTTCCCTTCATTGGATGATACGATTTTTACCGATTTTAATAATAAACCATGCCAACAAAAAGTAAAATGATAGCTAAAAAATAATGATAGTTTTCTTTTTTTTAATAAAAACTTCTTTTATGATTATACTATTTTTTTTTTGTTCAGAATCGAATAGATATCAGTTCATTCCCAAATTACAGATTTAATATAAATATATGCATTGAATTTATTAAAAAACTTCTCAATGTTAAAAATCGATAGAAAAAATAAAGAAAGGCTTCTATAATTATCTAAGAGAGAAAAAATGATAAATATTCTCCTGGATAGAAAACTGAAATGAAAATATTACTGCAGATGTATAATATATTCTAATACAACACAGTCATAAAAGGACATGGACAGTAATGAAAAACGCGTGAATTTAACAGATTAGCCTGAAGAGAAAAATCATAAAGTAATTAATTGTATTAAATAAATATCAATATAAATCTGTAAAAAACTTACCAAAACAGAAATTTTAGGTCTCCAAAATGCATGTAGGGTATAAGAAAAAGCAGTCGAAGTTCAATTTAGGCACCATCTACACAAAAAAGAAAAGCAAATCAGAGATGTGATCTTTAGTTGGCTTTTATTTAATGTTTGGATGATACCTGAATTGTCGAAACGTTAACGGATATTTTATTCTTAATATGCATTTTGGAGACATAAGGCTGTTTGGTTGGATTTTTTAAAATAATAATCCAACATTAAATGAGTATATGTAGCTGCCTAGAATTCTTACTGTTCTATAATATGGAAATGTAAAAGTTTAATATTATAAGAAGTCTAATTAACTATTAGGTTTTTGTTTGTTGGTAGTTTGATACAAATACAATATCATATAGAGCCCCATCTTTATAATACCTTTAATACAATATATAATTTTGTCATTTCATGATATTACAATTTAATAACTCTTAGCTTGAGCTTGGGAACTATTCTAGGTTAGCAATTTAATTGCACATTTCTGAAAATATGTTTCAATTGTGGATTTAAAAAAAAAAAAAAAAAAAGAATTATGAATTTTATCGTGATAGTGTATTCTAATAAATATATACCAGATACGATTTACCGTTCGACTATTGAATTGTTGAAAATTGCCAGGGATTCAACTTTTCCGAATTATTTATGCCCGAGTGGATAGGTTTCTGTCCAATCAATGTTTATTCAAGAACCGAACTCGGGAGTTGGGACAACAGTCACTGCTCTAATCTCCTGAGTGTGGAAGTAATTGATGCTTTCAATCAATTGATTTAACGTACCATAAAACTGTTGTTTAAAAACATATAAAACAATGGATTCAATAATTTTTAAAATAATTATAAAAGTGTTAATTTATTTATTTGAGGGTTTCGACCTCTGAAGTCATTGACTATGAAGTATATTTAGTCACTTGCAGTTCTTTTAAATTTTATTATGTATGTCCATAGCTTTTAACAATTTAATAAGTCGTAAAGTACTTTCTGGGTCCTGTCTCAAAATTTGTTCTGGGTCTGTGGAGAATCTGTAGGAGTCGTGAGCCATACACTCGGTTAGTATGTGAAGCACTGTTAGAATAAACACACAGTGGGAACATGTCAGTTCTGCCTTCTTTATCAGATATCCATGGGTAAGTCTTCAATCCTGACACGGGCTATGGGGCTGAAGTTCCCTCCCCTTAAAATAGTAAAATATAACTTGTTTTATAAAAAAATATCTCTTAAAGTATTATTATTCGTGTAATTACATTTAAAAGGACTTTAGGAATCACTTAAACACCATTTCATATAGGTAGTTAGTTTCTTTCTTTTTTTCCAAAGTAATTATCGTTATTTTTATGAAAAAAAAAAGCTTTCAGGCTGAAGCCTCCCCCCCCCAAATTAAATCCTAGATCCGATAGTGGTGTGTGGTAAAAGGGTCTGGTAGAGACTGTAGGGCGAATTTAGAACCAGAACATATGACAGAATGGAGGTAATTTAAAGTTAAACTGCAAACACGATTGACACTGTTGCTGCTCTACTATATTGAGTTCCTAACTGAACCAGCATACAAATCCATCTAATTGACAATATCTAGTAAATATTCCTATTTCCGGAGAATTTTACGTTGTACTTCGACTTAAGATTATATTTAATGTAGAATTTAGGATCATTTAAGACAAAATAATAATGATCTTTCTTCAAGTAGTGTAAAAGTTTGGTCACGATTCAACGTTGAATTATGACGATATATGTATAATAAAATACCATACGAGTAAATAATTTAACTCGTATTCAAATTATTTTGAGAAAAAATATTCTTCTATTCATTTTTTTGCAAGTACTATATTGTATGCCTCAGAAACCTCGAATATTTTAACAGACTGAGCAAGAAAATTCGTATCAGTAGAAATGGATTTTTTTAGACGTAATTGTGAAGTATCTAGGCTAAAAAAACGTTCCAAATAACGTTATTAGGAAAAGTGTGAACACTGAGAAGGGAGAAAGAGAAGCCAAATATCAGCAAGAAGAGTGAGGTTGTTACGACAAAAAGAAATGGAGGCAGAATATATTAAAAAACTTAATATGACTTTGCGTTGTAAATAAAATCTTTTGTATCTATTTAAATGACTCAATTTTTGAATTATTAAATCAAAACGTTATTTAATGAATAAGTGGATAAATGGATAAGTGTAAAGGTAAATTTATCCAATGTAGTACAAATATTAAAATATTTTAATACATCATTACTTTTCTTAAAAAATAATCACGTCACAATGTTCACTAAAATATAGGTCATCTTGATTTTGTCTTTTAATTTTTTCATTTATTTACAACATTTCGAGCTGATTAGCTAATTTTCAAGTTATCAATAATCGATTTCAATCAATAAAAGGAAGTACCGGTATAATAAGAAGGAGATATAAACAGGTACAGTACCTGGTATTGGGTTTCTTAATTTGACATGTATTTGATTAAATGTGAATATAATTAAAATAAAAATTTTATTTTTATATTATCGAACTGAAAATAACCGACAATAGTATTATATAATATCTAAGTTGGTTGGATATGTCATCGACTTTTGATAGCTTGTAAATGAGCCAATTGGTTCGAAAGGTTGTACTTAAATAAATGGAACAATTATAAAGGTAACTCAACCCTTGAAAACACCATGTATAAGTACGTTAAGTGCCATTGAAAAACATAGTACTTAAAAGTAACTAAATATATACAGGTAACCGTTACACGATTTAACATAGTGTTGGTAGAAATAAATCGCAGGCCTGGTGTTATCTGTAGTAAGGGCAGGTTCCGCCCTCTGTCAACGATGGTTATTATCTGGAGCGTAGATGCTGGTGTGGTTTTATTGTCTGCGATACCTGATGTGCATACCTAATACTTTCAGAGAACAGGCCCTCACTTCGAGTAACGGGTACTGGAGTGTTCTTCTGGGATTTTAGGAGCAGCTTTCCATGTACACGCCTGTGCAGGATGGAAGGAAGCAAACACCCGATACCTTCGTGTTGGGTCGGCGAGAGGCGTCCCGGACTGTTTCCTTGAATTAGAGCCCTCTTCAGTATTCCGTTGAGCCTTCTGGGCGAGTTAGTCCCGGACCGTCCCTAACAAGGCGCTGTACAATAACCGCGGCTAGCCAATTATCCAAGTTTGTATCATTGTTGAGTGAAAATCCAACTGACACTGAGGGGCTTCCGCAGCTGTTACTGCTTGTCTGATGAAGTCAAACACTAACACCAAACCAATATTACTCATTGTCTTTCATTAATCGGATTAACAGTTTCAGTAATTTCTAGAATAAATAATAATTAGTAAGGAACTATAAAAAAAAAATTGAAAAATGCGTAATGCCGTTTACTTTCTTTTTTCTTTTTACAAGTAAATAATGAAAAATTAAATAATATTTCTGGAACGTTTTGTACTTTGACACAAGGGGAAAAATCATCAAATGTTTTGGTGATTTGAGGTTATGAAATGTTACCTAATGACTTTTTGCAATCAAATCAAGATATTTTCTTTATCTCTTGTTGGGTCCAACACTTTTCAACATGTATTGTTCAGATCTCCCTCAACACTCAGAAACACTGTAATATTAACATCTAGCCAAGGTACAGCTGAGGCTTCTCAGGTACTTCAAGAACACCTAGGACAACATAGCTTGTCTGACTAAAAGATGGAGGTTAAAAATGAACGGGTCTAAGAGCCAATTCACTTCATTTACACTTCAACATTACTCTTGTCCTCAAGTATTCTTTAATAATATTGCTATACCGCATTTGAGTCTCTACTTGGACAAACGACTGACATGGACATAAAAGAAAAGGACTTCATCAGCGATACGGACTTCTTTCTTGGCTACTTGACAGACATTCTAAATTATCGGTGGCTAATAAATTAACTACTTACAAAGTTCTTATCCAACTACTTTGGATATATGTTACCAAGCTGTGAGGAACAGCTAAGACATCAAATCTAAAAACAATTTAGTCCTTTCAGTCAAAAGTCCCCCGGAAAATTGTAGAGGCACCCTTTTATGTTTCAAACTTTACGTTACACACTGACCTTGGCATTCCTTTCATTCAACTGCCACTGACCGCTTTAATATTTTTCATAGCAGACTGACTCTAAATTCCAATCAACTTACTCATGCTCTATCTACTGCCACAAATCCATATAATCCGCCCCAGAAGACTGCTGAGGCGCTGGCTAAGAGACTTACAGCATTGAGCCATTTTCTGGTATATCTTTTGCTTTTGTGATGTTAGGTTATCTTATTTTCATTTCATTCATTTTTTTTTTTGTTATTTTATCTTTTTCTATGTTTTGTTCCCCTCGATATCATATTGCTGGGTACAGAAGTATAAGTATGCCATCATTTATTTTCATGCATATTGGCCAAACATACGTGTAACATATAAATAAAAAAAAATAAAACAAATCTCTTGTTAGAAGATGAAGGTTACAATATTTTTTACAATTATATCAAATATGATTATATTATATGTACAATATAATTCTCTCATATTATTTATCATTGATTATTTAATGATATACTAAAATGACCCAGTTTCAATGAAATATGAGTACTGCAATCTATTCCCTGGCGGCAAATGGTACTGGGATTACATGTGTGTTGCTCAATGTTCAAATTTGTTCACCTTTTTATTGGTGGTAGTTTCATGTTACGGTGGTCATCTAATATTCAGTGCCTCTAGCCATGGATACCTCTATCCATACTCACAGATTATTAAATTTAATTATTTAAACCGCAAAAATAAGAATAAGTATTAGCGCAAATGTATGTACTTGACATCGAAACGACTATAACGATACAATATTGAATTAATAGTCTAGAGCAGGAGTTTCAGAATACCCAGAAGGGGGTTTAATGGCGCAAGTTACGCCATCAATATTTACGATTTTGTAAATTCTACATAAGCTTACACTGTTTTTACGAAGAAGAGAACAATAAAATATTTTTGGGAGGAGTGGGGGAAAGATCATGCTCCATCGGCCATTGGGGAGGGAGCGGGATCCCACCTCTGGTCTAGAGATCGTTCAGTTGTGGTACCCCCACTGCATTCAACTTAAGACTCTACATGTTAAAAAAATATTAAACATTGAATTTAAAGACCCCATGCGTACCCACGTCTTCAGTCGTTATGTCGAGTTGAAGTGGCTATATCCAGAGATGGGCAAATTGCTACTCTGAGTACTGAGCACAGGCGGATCTACGGGGGGAGGGAAGAAGTCTCCTAAAGGACTTAAGCCGCCCCCCCCCTCAAAATGGCAAAATATAACCTTGTTTAAAGAAAAAAAAATATCTCTAAAAATATTATTGTTCGTCTAATTACATTGAATTAGACTTAAAGATTCATTTAAATACCGTTTCATATAGGTAGTTAGTTTCTTTCTTTCTTTCGAATTAATTATTCTAATACATACATACAAAAAAAATCTTTCGGGCTGAACCCTTTCCCAAAATGAAATCCTGAATCCGTTGGTGGTACTGAGTACCAAGTATTTTACTAAAATTCTTATCATTTTTTGAGTACCAAAGAATTTAATTACTACTTTAGTTGATGTTGAATGATTAAATGAAGTAGTTATTGAATTATCAATAGCAATTCAATTTGAGTAAAATACTTTGTACTTGGTAATCAAGAGTAGCAATTGCTCATCTCTGGCTTTGTCCATTTTTTTTACTGCAACATTTATTAGGCGTATTTCAAACCTTTACAATCAAACAAATCTGTTTATCTTTTTTATTTGTTTACGCCTTGTTCCTCTATAAATTCTTTAAACACGAGATCCCCGCCCACAAACCTGTATATTCTTTGTCATAGTACTCCTTTGAAAAATCAATTATATTTAAATAAAATAATTATATTTAATTATTACTCAATTTAATTATTAATAATTATAATATTAAGTGCTAAATTGAAATATAACTGAATGTTTAAGAATTGTCTTATTGTGTTCCTATAAAGACAATCGTTCGACACTTGACCTTTCTATATCTGTTGGCCCTTCGGAAACTTTCGTTAACTTACGAAATAATAAATGCTTTCTTGTTGGCATTAAGTTTAAGATAAGATTTGATATTTTCAGAGAAATAAATATTAAGTTAATAAACTATGATATTTAATAAGTTTTTATTATTAAATTTAGATTTTGTTATTTTCTATATTACTTAATTGTAGTTTTTTAGATTTTCTAGGTAGACCAATTTTGATTAAAAAAAAGCTTAGTAATTTTTTATTAGATTAAATTATATATTATTTCAAATTAAGAAAAAAATATAAAAGCACTTCGCATGCTTATATGGGTGGCATACATTTCAACTATGGTAACGACGTTAATTTACACCGCTATGCAATTTGAATTGACAACAAGATAGTGTTATGTTGGGGAATTGACTCCAATTAGCTTACCGTGTAAATTCAAAGCCGTACTGAAGTGAGTGACATTGTTCCTCCTCACTAATTGCTATGTAACGTCAAAGATAGTTGTCCTTTTGGTAAATGAATAATTCATATTACATAATAATTTATGGTTTCACTATATACTCAGATATTAACGGCACTTAACCTTAACTAAATTTAATATTCAATAAGTAATAAATAATATACTGAAATGTAGGTTTTTCCTTTATGGCGTTCATCATATTAATAGAGACCATTTGGGGACCAACCCAAAATTTTTGAAAATTTTATCAGAAATGGAAAAACTGTGTATTAGGTGATATGCCCGTCGAAGGGATTTGACAACAGGCGGACTAGGAATCAATTTTTTTTTCCAAAATATGAACCGCGTGTGAATTTTTATTTGGATAATCTGAGCACAATTTTTTTTTTTTCTCCAGCACGATTATAAAGTTTTGGTAATGAGGAAATAGTTACAGTTAGAAAAAAAAAAAATTCGATTTGCCTTTAGAAGACTGAATCTCAAGACTAGTAATAAAGAAATCTATTGACGACTTGGAATGTTTAGTGATTAAAAGGTTTTCATTAGCTGTTTTCTTTTAGTAAACTGTGTGGATAAAGTATTATGATTATTTTTATGTGCCTTTAAAAGGAAACAAAATATTTCGGATAACACTGCTTAAAATGTTGAACCTTTTTTTTTTTAGTACATCATACATAATATTTCCTTACCTTGAAAGGTTACTATCGATCTTCTGGTACATTGGAAATATTTTGATACAAAATTTGTATCTATCCCTGTAGCTCTAAATCTGCCCGACACGATCAAACCGGCAATTTACAAGAGCTGAGTTAGTAACTGGACAGAAGGAGTTGGCAGTTTGCCCCTTGCTACTGTAGTCGTCGTTGGAATTCAGGGTACACGACCCAGGCTGTTAATAGTGGTCACTATAATGTTAACCTATCATTGATTTAATCTTGAAAACATGAAATGCATTTTAATTAACTCCGCTTTTCGAGCCTAGTAAATGGTGCTGTAAAATCAAATGCTTTAAATTAAAGTAAAAATAAATAAATTGATAGAAATATATAGTTCAGGCTTTTAATAAAATAGTTTGGCCACTATTTAGCCTATTCATGACCGCCACTCCGGATCATTTCCTTCCTTTATTATGCAACGGTCAACTATTAAATAGTTAGTTCCTTTTGATCTAGGCGATGATTTCTAAAATGTCCGGAAAACATTATTGAAATAGACTCCAATATTCCCGAAAATTTTGTTCCTTCTCTGCTTTTTTTTTTTTTTTTTTTTTTTTTTTGTCGTCCCTTCCTTGCCTTTAAGGCTACACAGGGGTTTTCCCGGACCGGTGGAGGCGGTGGAGAAATTATACCGAGTTTAAATTCCCACCGGTCATCGGGATTTGAACTCGTAATTTTTTTTTTATTTTAAACTTCGGTTATCAGGTTGTCGGGCAACGCACGATTCTTGAAACACGCGTTTGCCCGCTCGACGATTGGTTTGAAGTACAATTACATTTCTCCATTTAATAATATTTTATTTATTCTGAGTCCTTCTAGAATAATAAACAATTACAGAAATATGGGCTTTAGACTCTTAGAAATATAATTATAATTTAAAAGTATAATTTCAAAGTAAACAAATAACAACATGAAAAAAGTATAAATTACCTTCTTACGCTAATCGCTTAACAAATAGAAAAAAAAAATCAAAGAAATATTAAATGAAAATAATTAAAAACAAAATAATAATATTTACAGAAATATCTATTTACAATTTTATAGAGTCTAGATGGAAAGGTAGTAATCGAA